TTCCCAGCAGAGAAGTGCGCAGCACAGTCACCTCAAAGGTTTTCCTCTCCAACTGATGGCGCTTCTCAGCCTCCTGCAGCTTCGTGAACAGCCTCTTCGCCGTCTGTCGGATCTTTTCCACGTCTTCACCTGAGCAGTCCTCCTCCTGCGGAGACGGTAACAGGAGAGGATGAGCAGTCGGGAGGTATCAAAGGAGCCCTCCGCCCCAATGTGGGCAGCGCTGTTGGTGACAAAGCCTGGTAACATCACTTCTCAGCTTGAAAAAATGAAAGGCGCTCCTGTCCTCACCTCCCACACTCGAGCGACAGCTTCCAGCCCTCGAGATAACGCACACGGTACCCTTTGGTTGCCTTCCAAGCCCTGTTTGCAGGATGCCACCCCGATCCGCGCTTGGGCAACCTGAAACCCCGCAACGTGAACCAAGTCCACAGCAAGCCAGCCCGAAAGCCCAGCCCAGAGCGTCTGCTCCCGCCAGGGGAAAGACGAAGAGCTGGAGAAGTATTTCCTGGCTTCAGCCTCCTGTTATCTCCTCTGCTAAAAAGCTCTCATGTGCAGAGCTTTAAAGACCCATTATGCACATTTTTATTGCTCTGACAGAGCTGCGCTGCGTTTCTGATCTGACCCCGATAAAAAGACCGGAGTTTGCTGCAGGAGCGCCTGACCGTGTGCCGAGCAGGTTCGAAGTTACCTGCTGGGAGGAAGACGCCAAACTAAAACTGGTATTTCCTTCCACAGCACTGAAATCCCCCTCTCCAGCTCCATACCTGGTCCTCCCAGGAGTCGGCACGCAGCCTCTCGGGGTACAGCCAGCTCCCGTTCTGCTTTTCCAGCACAACCTACGTAAGCAAAGGACAGACGGACAGGGATGGAACGCCGGCCGGCGCAGCCGCTCGCGCGAGAGCACGGTCGCATGCAGACAGCTAGCTCTGGGGCACCGCAGCAACTCGAGACCGGGTTGGGTTTTTTTTCTGCAAACGAACATGCGATAGTGCGTTTGGCCAGCCAATGCCTTGTGCTTACTGACTCCTCGTTACGCGCTTGTGTGGGTTTCGAATTGTGCCTGTAAACGGTGCCAGCGTGGCTTTCATTCGCCACAAGTGCCTCGATCTTTAAGGCCCCTTCTATCATTTTCCGGACCCGAAGATGACATCTTTTTAATAAGTCAATGTCATTTAACGCCCGAGAAATGCTCCCGTTACCTGTGCGTGCTGTTTATCTCCTTGTCTGTTCTCAAGTTTACTACTTAAGTCTTCCCGCAGCTTCTTCAAAGAACTTCTAGCCTGGCAAAGGCAAGTCAATTTAGCTGGATCTGCATGGACAGTGTCACTCAGCCTAACAGAAACCAAAGGCAGGCGCGGCGGCTGCCACGGGGCCCTGCGCCGGTACGTGGTGGAGGGCGTC